CAATGCTCACCATGTTTACCTACTTTCATTCACAAATTTTCCCATTTATATTTTATAATTTTATTAAAACTTACCAATCATCAGCACTCGAACATGAAGCTTGTGATTCACATTCTGACTGTTCATATGTCTCATCAGAATCAGTTGTTGCATTGGACTCTAAACTTGACCAAGTTGTGTCAAGTTCATTGTCTGGGGGTGGTTCTTGTACTTGTATTGTTTGGTTTGGTTTCAGGAGATCACATTGTACTTGAACGCTTCTTCTTTCTGGAGGATGCAACATCTCTGTCTGGCAAACTGTAATGCAAATAACACAGTCAAGTTCAAATACAATACCAAATGTAATTGTCCCATCTGAAAACCTGGCAGTGTGATGGAGAACCTTTTAAAAAAAAAATCTGAGGGTAAGAGAAAAAAAAAATATTCATTGTCAAGATACGAGAAAAAAATATTTTCAACATAAAATATTCTCCTAGCCTCCCCACATACAATACATACCTTTATTTGATCCAAAGGGCCTTACTTGTACACGCACACTTCTCTTATTAGGCTGCTTGTAAGATATTTGAGTACCATATGTTCTAACAGTCTTAGCCTTGGTTAAAGTCTTAAATGTGAAACAAAATTTAGGAAGTGATTATTTATTTATTTATTTATTTATTTATTTATTTATTTATTTATTTATTTATTTATTTATTTATTTATTTATTTATTTATTTATAAACACACTAATATAAACACACCAAGACGCTGTTTATAGAATACATACATGTTTTTCATGCAAGTTTCTCGCAAATGTTCAGTACCTGAATAGAGCTGTCGGTAAGAGAATCAGTGTCCTGTACTTGGTGGCTTGTGTCCTCGTCATGGGTGTCCTCCGAATACTGCAGAGTTACCTGTATCAAACAATGATTACAAATAATAATGTATGAAAAAAACAGACAATTGAACGTACGTAATAGCATTACCGCCATAGCCAGTCGTTATGTGTAAACGTAAACATACTCGCGGTAAATTCAGTGCGCGGCACATAGTCGAACATGAACGAATACAAATACCTACCCTAGCATTTTCTCTTTTAAGAAAAGCAATCCTTGGCCTTTTAGGTGTTGAGACAGCCGGATACGCTGGACTTGTATCAGTCTTGTTACTAATACTCTCCGCCAGGACGCCGGTATGAATTGTTGGCACGGCATCTTTGTACAAAGTTTTTCTTCCGGGAACTTGTCCCATCGCACGCATAAACTTGTATTTTGCCGGGTAGCACTCGTCTGTGAAATGTACTGAGCAAAGCACAGAATGCTTCGTAGGACCATGCCATTTAGCTCTCTTCACCCGAACAAACTTCGTCAAAGTTTGCTCAA